CCACAGTGACATACATATACATATGATTATTAAGAGAGTAATTGTTATTGTGCGTCGGTGGCATAGTGGTTAGGACGCTCGCCGACCATGCATATGGTCCGGGGTTCGATCCCCGGCCACCGACGCACTCCTTTACCTCGTTAAAGCAGAAATAACGCTGGTGAAGAGGAAAGGTTGGGCATGAGGCTAGCAACTCCATCCTGTAAAATAAACACCGCTACAGAAACTTCAAGCTGCTAGCTTGAAGCCCTTTGTTCCACTGGGTAACGTGAAGGAAATAAAAAATTGTTATTGACAACAGTGATGATTTTGTTTAAGTAATATCAAGTTTTCAAGTATTGGTTTGTAGAGATTTTGTTTTGATTGGTTGGAGGATTTCATCATGAGCTGACATCAATTAGAGAACCAATAGAAAACATGGAACTCTTTAGAATCACTCACTCACCACTAGGGCTCAAACCCATGACCTTCTGGTTACAAGGCAAGCTTGTAAACCATTTAGCCACTAGTACCTGACACCTCAATGGCCAGCTGGCGTCATGCAACTGCTCTTAAAGCGCATCTGGGAGATCTATCCAGCCTGGTTAGCAAAAAGAGAAAATGTAGGTGAGTGTGTATACACCTCGATGTGATAGAACATTTGGTCAACTCAGGATACTCAGGTCCATTTGAATGAAAAGCCCTTCAAACTCCTATAGGAGATCCCAATCAAACCTCTCAAAGAGAGTGAGATCAAGGCATATGGATATAGTAGCTGAGGCACTGGCGATCCGAAAATTCAACCCCGCTCTATGTATTCAAGAAAAAATACATCCATTCTTTGTCTTTAACATGGCCATTATAAACAATGACTTCTCTCATTAGTGATGTGCTTCGGTTTCACAGTGGTTACGACTCTCACCAACCATGCACATGGTCCGGGGTTCGATCCTCTGCCGACGCACACCTGATATCAATGGTTGGCCTACAGAATTTGGGCTACCGATATCACATGCTGAAAATTCCATACCTGTACCTAAAAATACGGTGTGGAATCAAGCTGTAATCAAAATAAAAAAATAAAAATAAATAGATAAAATTACCTTTCTTATCTGAAATTTCTGTTTATTTCTGTTATTACTACGATTTTAATCCCTAGTCTTACAAATGAGTCAGTTTTCTCAAACGTTATTATCCTACTATGACTTTTTATCCTACCTTACTGCTCATTTTAGCATTATTACCTCTTTGATCTCTATGTTTAGTCTTTGTCACGAGTCAGAGCGGAACATGTCAGAGAGAGAGAAAAATATTCCGTTGTAAGGTACACTATAGATTACATTCTTACCTAAATATTTCTTTAGCGGAAGGAGATAAAACACACTGAAAACTCTGTACTGTAAATAAACATGTTTTTCAGAATGATGCTATTATTATTAGTAGTATTAATAACATCAGGTTGACTGTTTGGCGTCACACAAACTCAAAAACTTGTAGGGGGAAACCAAAAAAACTGGTTGAAGACGCGAGCAGCGAAGACAGGATTCTACGTGAACATAGAGAAGACGGAAGTGATGAAGATAATCAAAAAACACCATCAATGGGAGGGATTTCACAGAGGCTACTTCCTTTATCTATCTGGCTAGGAAGCACGGTTTCAACCACAGGCAGTCGAACAGCACGGATGAAGATTTCAAAGCCAAGGTACACCTTCATCAACCTGAAACCAGCTTGGAAATCTTCTGTTTCACTCAGCCAGCAAGAACAACAAGATAGATTCGAATTTTCAGCACAAATGTCAGTGAAGTGAGTCAGTAAGTTCTTCTATACGGGTCAGAAACATGGCTAGCTATTCACGAAGAGGATTTCCAACAGCTTATTGCAGACTTTCATCTACAGCTTCCGGCTTCGCTGACTTTAGATTGAAGATCAAATGGCTGCAGATAGGGAATTAACAACAAGAAACTCGGGCTGTCAACAAACCAATAGGCAAGAGCCAATTGCTTAACAAATATGTAGGAGAAAATGGACATGAGTCGTACGCAAGCTGAGCAGGCCACTGAACGACATCACGCTCAAGGCAGGCCATTGCTCGAGTGGATCGTCGGTACGATGGTGACTTGGAAGAGATCGTGTGGTGACGACGAGGAGGAGATGAAAGAATATGGGGAATCGTATGGATAAGCTGAAGAGGACAGCAGAAAACAGAAGAAAGTGGATATGTGTTATTGAAGTCAGCCCTATGTTCCACCCGGAATCCATGGGAATAATATTAATAAGTAGGCTTTAGTTTCCACTTCAAAAACTTCAATATCTTTTTGGAAACTTTTTCTATTGCTTAAAAATAAATAGTATTTTTGTTAACTGTGAAATGATCATGCCTTAATCTCTTGTAACAATGAAAAAAGTAAAACAATCAATAAAATATATTGATTAATTTCCATTTTGAAATTATTAAGGGATATCAAGTGAACATAGAGATGGCAGAAGTAATCAAAAATCCATAACCAAACAGCCATGTTGAATCATCAAGAATGATAGAAATTCGGAGGAAGTTACCCCTCCCCTTCAACTAGAGGCTAGTAGCACGAAAGAGGATGTGAAAATTAGTCGGAGTCGAAAAAAGAAGACTGTCCTTCACTAATCTGTAATCTATTCCACTCAACACTGTAAACGTAAAGATTGTTGATCTAATCACAATATTCATACGTATTTGGATGTTTCAATTAAATTTGTAATTACTATCCGTTTTTCTCCCACACTCTATATCATTGTTTTCACGTGTGCTTATCATCCGTTGATCTGATCCTTATTATTTGTCTTTGTCTCTGTCCCTGTTTAATCTTTTTTAATTTTAATGCTTCCCTTTTTGCGGTTGTGTTGTACGCTGCGATTTGATTTGAATGAACCAAGGTCATACTGACTTTTCGATGTCTTTGGGGAGAATTGGTGTACGATTCATGCGGACAGAGCTTTGCATACCGCCCATCTTATTGTGTAACTAACTGTCCAACAGGGTAGTTGAAGTCATTTTGAATTTTTTATGTTATTATTGTTGGATACATTTATCAAATATTGGTTTTGTAGGGATTTTTGTTTGATTGCATGGAGGATTTCATCATGAGCTGACATCAGTTAGAGAACCATTGGAAAATCTGGGAGTACTGGACAACCGTTTCGTCCCAGTTTGGGACTCTTCATCTGTACATACCCACCGAGATTCTAACCTAGGATCTTCTGGTTAGAAGGCGAGCCCAGGTTTTCCAGTGGTTCTCTAACTGGTGGCAGTTCATGATGAAATCCTCCATGCAATCGAATAAATTTATCTAAGATTAATCGTCTTTTTCCGATCTTCTCAGGGTTTCATGACTGCGCCTACCTCAAACAAGTTTTGTCAGCTATACAGTAAGACGTAAAGATCAGTCCATCACGTTCAGACGACAACAAGTCAATTTTAGCTGTTACAAATATAAAGAATAAGATTCGGATTTTCACCACTTACGTAATAAAGTTTGTTTATTAGATATATCACACAGTGAAACAGTATTATTCACTGAATGACGTTTCTAACAAAATTGGAAAGTCAGGAAGGGGAACTGCCAATGTTAGATTGCAGCGTATGAAGGAAAGAAGACGGGAGGTTGAAACACACCGGTGTTTACAGGAGACCCACACATTCAAGCAGATATTTGAACTTCCAATCATCCCATCCTATGTCAGTGAAAATAGGATTGGTGAAATTTTCAAATGATAGAGCACAAAAACGAAGTAGTAGCAAGGAAAATCTAAGACATGAAGTGAGGCATATAAGAGATGCCTTGAAACTTAATTAATAATTACACTGATAAATTAGTCAGAAAGTATGAAGGGAAATGCAAATATAATTATAATATTAATGACGACATGCATGTCAAACATGCGCAAGACAACACCAACAATAAGGAATCTAAATCATCAGTAGTAATTCCATACAAGGAAGGAACTTCGGAAACCACTTTACGGAGAATTCTTAACAAGACAGGAATAAAAGTGGCATTCAAAGCCACAAACTCACTTGGAAACAAGCTTTGTCGTTTACAGGATGAATCCTGTAGAGCCAATAAACCAGAACAATTTGTTTCATCTAATACCCTGTCTGCAATGATTGTCAGGTCAAATACATGGGTCAAATTAGTAGAACAGGGGCAGTCAGTCAGACTAGCCAAGCACAAAAACCTAGCGGCAAAATCTAGATTAGTTGACCCGAATAAAATAAGAAATCTAGAGAATAGTTGAGTTATAGCACTATATGCAATTGCACACAACCATACAATAGGATGGATGGGATAAGATGACAGTTTTAAAATCTAATGTCACAGGGTGGAGGGAGAGATTGATAACAGAAGCTTTGTTTATCGAATCAACGGCAAATACGTGTAATAGGAATGATTCGACACCTGTCCAGTTGGATATCTGAAAAATTCTACTACCCCAACGACGACAAATAGGAGAGAACAAAGAAAACTATAAAAGTCAAGTTTAGAAGTCATGTGATTACAATTGATGATGTGATTATGAACAATACTAGATTGTGTTCGAGACGTCATCCAGTAAATAATACTGTTTCACTCACTGTGTGATACATCTAATAAACAAACTAATACAGAATTACTTACTCCCACAGTGCCCAAGTTTGACATATATGTATATATATATATATATTATTACTTCAATATGGCTCAGAAACTTTCCACGAGCCTTACTAAAACACATTCCTGACCGCTCGGTGATGATCAGATGACCAGTTGTAAAAGACAAGCAACAAAGAAGTCTAGTAGACAGTCAACCAACCAAGGAGCTATCGTCCATCACACGCTTCATACGCCCTCGAGCGGAACTCGAATGGGAACCTATCACTTGGGCATATATCCGAAGGGGATATGGAGGAGATCATGAAAACAGTTACTGAAGGTCTATATTTCACGCAAAATTCAGGGGAATAACAATATTTATAATAATAATAAATAATCTATCTAACTCACCGAGTATGTTGTATCCAACTGTAACTGTTCATCGGTAATAATCATCCAAGCTGGATAGTGAATTGTCTTCCTATGAGTACTATTCTCACCGCTTTCATTATTATTAATACTACTATTAGTTCTTGTTATTGTATTTGTTGATGGCTTAGGTGTTAAATTATTACACATAAATCCTTTAAAATAATTCTGTTTCATATTCGTGTTTATATTTAGCATAGATGTTTGATGAATAACAGTCTTCAGGATTAAAGGCATTGATTCATAGAATTCACTTTGTCTAAATTGATCTAAATTCTGTGATATTGCCGCTGCCGCTGTTCTTGTTGTTGCTGTTCTTGTTGTCGTCGTCCCCTTTGACATGGACATCTTATCAGCGGGTGTTGAAAATGGTGATGTTGACTGTGGATGTTGAAGTGCTGATAGCGGTATCGGCTGCGACTGCGACTGTGACTGTGGTTGCGGTGACGATGATGACGTCTGAGAGGTACAACTAACTCGAGAGGATGATGATGGTGATGAACAATTAGTGTACTGTTCAACAATCTCTTTACTTAAAGCTTCTGTGTCATTCGTCTGATCACTTGTTCTACGTTTTGGCGGCCATAGACTAATTGATGATAAATTTATCATCGATTTTGATATTGGTTTACTCGATGATGATTTATTTGTTGGCATTTGAATATCTTCTGAAGTATCTGAATTCACAAAGGCATTTTCTTCTTCACCAACATAAGCTCCAATACCAAGATTCCCCAAGAATGAGTGAATCTCTTCTTGCGGTTGTTGCTGTTGTTGTTGGTGTTGTTGGGTGTTAAGATTCCCTTGACGATGATAACTAGTGTTGTCTGTTTTTAATCCATCTAATGTGATATTTGTCGTAGCACTGATACTTGTCAACTTCAACAGACGTAACCATCTGGGCATTTTTCTTCCAGTATTTCCAGCGTCATCTTTAGCACCTGTGGTTGACCCATTTTGATCCATTCGTGCACATGATTGCGTAATATCTCCTGTACTTTGATGATGAGGATGATTAGGATTCTGACTATGTCGACCTCTTTTCTTCAAATTACTTCTGTGTTGAACTACTTTACCCTTGAATAGCCTTGAACGTTTTGTAATGCCTGTCTCTTCTGATGGATTCGACATATGTGTGTGGATAAAATGTGTAACACGAGATTGATAACTCCAGTTAGTGACTGTTAATTTGAGATCATACTTGCACAGTTAAATCTCTCGCCGTTTACAAATTTTGATAATTTTAAAAATATCCATTAATGTGTCAATAGTGTTTATATTGTTTCGTTAGTTCCAAAGTAAAGTTCATTCTATTTGCCATTTTTGTTAAAAAAACAAGAAAAAAAATTTGCTGTATTTTGATTCAAAATGTTTTAAAATAAAGGTATAGCTGACTGACTGAGTAAAAATATACTTTGAATTATTTATGTTGAACTTTAACCAATCGTCTGTGTGTATTTCTCTGTGTGTGCGTGTCTGTGTATGTGTGTGTGCGTGTGTGTTTTTCAAATCATTACACATGTGTGTATATGTGCAATTGAGCATAACTTCACACCAATAGACATTCATATACGTACGTTCATAGCTCAGACATAGTCATAGTGAGAAACTATTTCACATGTGTATATGTGTATGTCTGTGTAGCTTAATGCGTGTGCGTGTGTGTGTGCATGTGTGTGTCTATCCTCCACTTATTATCTTGGAACATGATAGAATTTATACTACTAGCTAGAATGGATTGTACATTAAACTATGCACACATTTATACAAATTTTAGAGCACAAATCAATGAGAGAGACAGAGAGGGGGGGGTAGACAAACTGTAACACCCCACACACTACTGATGAGTTAATCGTCAGGACAATGCAATTCATTCTCATGATGAAATAAGACGAAATTCCTGTACAATTCAACCAATAATAGTTTTGTTTTTATTACATCCAAAGTGCTGAGTTTTTTTGTGTATGTGCGGAGAGAAGAGTCAGCGTTTAAACAAATAAATGTTGTGATAATCATGCATTGTAGGCTCCTTTTCTTTTTTCTTCAATATTATCAACATTCTTTCCAAAGTTATTTAACTATTCACAAACCAAAATCCAGTTTTAATGTTCTCTGAAAATAAAGGAGAATTGAGCAAAACTGAAAGAAACAGTTCGCCTACTTCAAATATATTGAATTTAAGTGTATTATTGGGCATAAAAACAATTTGATTGGTCAATTTTTAACCAATCAGATTGCAGTAAATTCATTCTTCTATTGGGAACCATGGTTACGATAAATCCAAACATGCTGTAACACCAAAAAGTATTTATTTTTTTTAAATATTATATTTAAATTATTGATACAATTAAATGCCACACCTGGATGATAGTAGCTAAGGTCATTTAGTGATTAGATGGCAATTTCACCATCGACTTACTGCAGTCATTGTGTTCTCATTCAACAAGATAAACAGAACAACCTAATTTTAAAACACATTCGGAATGAGAGTTAAGTAGATAAATATCATTATTCCTCTGATGTGTTACTTTTTCATTTTGTACTGTTTTCAACGGTTCTCTTCAACTGCTCCGATGACTCCCCACAGGCTCTTTATTTCTTCTAGATATGATGAAGAAGATTTGTAGGTCAGGTGGATGATTTTGATGTAACTGTATTCTCTGAGCTGGATGGTTTATTTGCGGAGTTTTCATTACCCTACTAGGCAACATCTTCAGTATGTCATTCAATTTGAAGTGAGCTTTTAGACTTCTCCATGAGTTTATTAGTTATCTCTCTTGTCGAGTGAAGTTGAACGTCGTTATTGGTTGTTTTTTGTGCGTTTTCCACCCACCTCCTCCCACATTAAGGAAAATTGGAGAAAGATACTTCATGGACGTCTTGTAAAAGAATGGATATCCATGGGATTTCATCGAAAGTCATCTATCTCCAAACCAACCTATCAAATCAAAGGCCCCCAAGGAAACCACAAAGAAAATTGCCCGACCATATATAAAAGACATCTCAGAAATTACCGCAAGACCATACAAAAGTTTAGAAAGTGATTTAGCACACAAACCAGCAAAATTCGAATTCGCCGAAAAGAGACTCTTCGCTGAACTAATTTGTTCTTATTTCAATGTCTTAATGGGTATATTTCGCGAATTAAAATCACTTCACTCAGCTTGCTCTGTATCTACCAAAAGAACCAACAACGAAAGAAAATAGAACCAACATCATCTACAAAATAAGTTGAAACGACTGCAAAAGACACTACATTGGCCAAAGTAGACGTCCCCTTCGTCTTGTATCCATGATTATAAACTAGCCGTCAAAAGACACGACTCCCACTCACTCATATCACCACACTGCACACAGACATCAGTTCGACTGGGACAGCGTTCAAATTTTAGATAGAGGAAACAATAAGAATGCTAGAGAATTTTAAGAAGCCCTGTATTCCAGTAAATCCTCAATCAATCGACACATCGAGATAGACAAAATTTACCAACTGATAAGAAGGATATCTCACACACAAAGGGTCAAAGTTCAAGTCAAGGAAACAATCAGTACCAATACGAATACAAGTAGCCTAGAGGTTGTGAAAACACACAAAAGCAACCAATCACGACGTTGAAGTTCCTCAGGAGAAATGACTAATAAACTGGTCATAGGGTTCAAAATTCAGTGCTTGCGTACTGCTGAAGAGTCCTGAACTAGGGCTAAACAGCTCTCCAGTACTCCCAGGTTTTCTAATGGTCCTCTAACCCATGTCAGTTCATGATGAAATCCTGAAATATTGATAATGTGTTATATGATGTGATTTTGTTTCAGCGAATGAAGGTTGTTCTGACTTCGAACTGTCTACGGGAAGCGTAGGTGTGTGATTCTTGTAGACAGAGTTTTGATTTTGCTTCGTAAATTATGTTCTGTAGTACTTGCTTTGTACTTAAATAAAACTTATATTGTCTGTATAGCTTCCTAATGGCACCACTGTGGCAATTTTGTCCTTTTGATGTTACTATTGTTGAAAGAAACACATAGATTCCAACCACAAACATTCGTCTGTTTGCTGTCTTTGGGTCCCTTTGTGACTATGCGTCTTTCAAGAGTGTTTTGACAGCTATACAGCAGGATCCAGAGATGAGGTTTCTGTATTCAGACCACAGCAAGTCAGTTTTGGTCGTAACAAAGATACCGTCAAAATACTTCAAGATATAGTTCATGAGACAGTTTAAACTCCATATTGTGCTTACAGGCATTTTATTCACTCAGGAAGAGTTTTTGTTTAGAATTCATCCCTGTTTTTAACATTTAATCAATGTAGAGATGAAAAATCTTTCCACTGATAATTATCGACCATGTCGTGGGGGCACTGGCATCACCCAAACCGCCAACAGGTCAGTAATTACGAATGGATAACCCTGTAAAACAACTGTAAATCCAACTAGTATATGAGCAGTTTAGTGCAACAGTTCAACCGAAATGATATTATACCATAATTTGAAAAGTGACTCAAACATGCAGTTAAATTAGAAGAGTGAATAGCAAGTTCATCTGTTTCCGTTATGATGAGACTAAAGACTGGCAACCACAACTAAATGATGGTGAACTAGAATTTGGACAACTTTGTACTGGTGTGTCTATATATATATACATATTATTGTTCCCTTGGGTTCCTAGTGGAACATAGGGCTTTAACTGCACGTCTCCACTTGCTTCTGTCTTCTGCTGTACTTTTCACCTGTATCCATGTTATTCTATATTGTTTCAGCTCCTCTTTCTTGGTTTGGCAAAGGTTCGAATAAAGCTATACACAGCTCATTCATTACTAGCTCATCTCGTCGGTATTGGACATCAAATTGACTCTAACAAAGCTTTTAAAGTTATTTATCGTTATTTATCACCCAACCTCTCACATGGTCTACGATTATGACTTTTACATACATTCAACGGAGGCAATCGGAATTCATCTGAGCAAGCCAAATCTATGTGTGTGTTCAAAAGAAATTTGTGCAGCCCCTTTCTTTGCCATTGCCAACTGCATGATATGTATTAGGTTTTTAAAATGATTTTTTTTCCTCCCCTCGTAACCATCTTTTGACTTTGCTCATTTTTACAATTTTTAAGTTCTCGCTGATTCTTTTAACTTGTTCGCATTTTACGTGATAACTTGTTACCAACGCCTAAGAATCAACCTATCTTGAATTCCGTAATTAATCAGCTTTCACCCCTTATATATATCCAAACCAAGTTCACTTTTAACAGTTTGAAAAAATTTGGGCATTGGGTATATCATATTCATTATAATAAAGGTTTTGTATTTCCCAATGAATGAAAAACAAAAGGATATTGTTTTGTTTACTGACGTTTCACTATTTAATGCTAACAGCTTTATCAAAGTATTATTAAACCGGAATTTACAAAATCCATTCAGCATATATATAACAAAGAGTTGACGGGTGAGAAAGTAGACTTAGGTCAAGTTAAAGGGACATATTGAAAGTTAAAATACCAAGGAAGATCACTAAACCAAATAACCAAGGTAATAGTACATCTGTTATGGTATCAAAATAAAGTCTACTAACTTGATCATCATTCGTTAGTCTGGGGTCATTTTTCGTTGTCAAGTTGGTCAATTGGTAAAGATAACAAGATCAAGTGTAGATTGTTGGATTTGATCAGTGTTTAAAATTACAAAGACAGTGTGTGTTTACAAAGTGAACTTGCATATCATATTCGTGTTGATTTTGTCACTTCATGGAGGAGGGAGGTGTTGTAACTAGGTCAGATTCTGTTTTAGTCCATCATTCCTATTCAGGCAGTTTGGATTCCACTTGATATGAAGTGCTTCTGATATTATTATTATTGTTCCCTTGGGTTACTAGTGGAACATAGGGCTTCAACTACACGTCTCCACTTGCTTCTGTCTTCTGCTATACTTTTCACTTGCATCCATGTTAGTCTATGCTGTTTCAACTCTTCTTAACACGATCTCCTATATGTCACCCTTGGACGTCCCACTCGCCGCTTCCCTTTCGGGTTCCACTCGAGCGTTGGCCTGACACGCGATGTCACCCAGCGACCTCCTCAGCGAGTGTCCAATCCATCTCCACTTTCTCCTGCCTATTTGTTGGGCGATTGGTTCTTGT